GTTGTATATCTTCTGTATGTTGTATATCTTCCGTATCTCGATGATGAAATTCGACGCTCTTTGTAAATAACTAAACCCATCGGTGTTCGTTCAATTATTCACGTAGCGAGATAGAAACTGTGAAGGTACTCCCTCACGTTCATACGATTCGTCCTAATGTCTGGCTATAGGCCTTAAATCGTGCTCGCAGTACTCCACTACGAAACACGCACTCGAGCTCGGCGACGACGAACACTAAAGCGCACGAGACTCAGACGACCATGAACGAGCAGTCGGAAGAATTACACGATCCGAACGAACCGAACGTTCAGAAGGCGAACTCGGGGTTTCAGAAGAGCACAGCTACGTCGAACGCGAAGAACGTGAGATTCCAACCTGACGACACTAGTATCGCCAGCGAGACGAACGCCAACACGACCACCACGAAGAAGAACATCAGCAAGAAAGTAACCAGCACCGCGAAACCTACCGCTACCACCGGAAACAACAATAATAACAATAATAATAACCTCGAGAACCCGGTCGAGAACATTAGGAAACAATTGGAAAAGCTCGAGGATCTCGGTGATCAATTGCCAAGCAACGAAACGGCCTATACATTGCGTTATCCTTTCCAAGACAAAGGTAACTTTCTTCAGAAGATTTCCACCTAATTAGTAGTACAATATTCATTTTTTAGCAATCTGAATGTTTCAGAAACGGATAATTAAAAATTCACCGCTTATTTGCTTCCATTTCTGACGCGCGCGAAACGTAGATGAGAATTTCTTTTTATTAGTCGTTTGTTTCTCTCGATTATTCCCAATACTCCCATGTTTATTTCTGATATTTGAGAATCGGTTGTTATTTGTTTTTTCCCAGGCATCTGTACACTCTCTACTTTAACTAGCGGCTTGTACTCTTTCACCTGCTCGTAAGTGCGCCACCAGATTTTTTATTTTCTTTCTATCGCCACGAGTCGAGTCTGTCCTCGTTGGTTCTTTTTTCGTTACATCTTTCTTTGCACGCTGCTTTCACCAACATCGCGCGTGTGCGAGCTAGTCGGATGACATCGAAAAGGATTTTGCTCGATTTTTTAGCACCGGCGAATGCCTCTTCGGAGCTGGAGTTCTTTCGACACCGAATTCACGTCGAAAGGGATTCAGTGAAGAGGGCACGGGAGGCGCTTCGACACCAGGAGAACGTATTCCAGGGACGGCAGAGGGCTTGGAAACAACGTAGCGTCCGAGCAACCCTCGAGCAATTAGTTCAGGTATTATTTTTATACACCTGCGTCTCGATCTGTATTTTCTAAAAGCTGCGCGTTAAATCCGCACGATGGATTTTAGGAGGAACGCGAACTCTCGGACATGGAAGTGAACTTGCATCGAACTAAGAGCCTTCTGGGTGAGAAAGTGATCCAATTAAGGCACTTGGAGCAATCTCTGGAGAGAGTGGTTAATGCTAAAACCAACGAAAATGACGCGACTACGACGAAAAACGAAGAACTGACGTTGAGCGATATGTCTAGCGTGAGCAGTGGTATCAGTTCAACTGATTTGGGAACGGACACGTTTATAGGTAAGTTTCTGTAACGGACCCTCTCTCTCTCTCTCTCTCTTTCTCTCTTTTTCTCACTATTCCGCTATCAGTTATTGTTTCATCGCCTTTCTTTTCTTTGTCACTTTATTAGTTATTTTCACAAATGATTTAAATGATTTTCCTCGAGTCTATCGAAGCGCTGTTTTCGTTTATTTCTTTCCACTCAAGAATTTGTTTTCGATCTTGTGGTCTTGATCCTTCGTACTCAGACAAACCGGATCACTACCAGGAGTCGACGGAAATCATCGCAAGCCTGGAAAACCTAAACTCGGAAATACGTGAGATCTGGGGCGTGCTGAATAAACGCCAGGATACTAATATACCACCGCCGCCGACTTTGATGTATTCTTATTTGCGATGGCTACGTTTCCACCACCTTACAGCCGAATCGAACAATATACAAGGTGAGTATAAATCTTCGTTTGCATAATTTCACGAAGACTTTCTCTTTAAGTTGCGAAATTCTTTCAGGAACATTCGGTACGCCGAATATTCAGTCGAACATCTTGTCTCAGTTAACTGTAACGCAACCACCGACACCCAACACGCAAAACATCATCGCCCAATATGGTCCTAATAGCGGTTTTACTACCAGCGTTTGTACCGTTGAGAAGAACTCTTCGAACCTGATGGAGAGAACGTGGAATCTACGGGATTGGCTGCGACAAACTTGCGTCGAGAGCACAGATCAGCCCAGGTCGAACGACACTCTAAAAAACAATCCACAATCCATCGAAAAGTTTGGTTCCAAACGACATACGCTAGGGGATTCGAGTACCCGTTTCGTTGATGTAGATTCTATGTACTTACACGTGTTTCTAAACCAATTCAAGAAAACGTGTTTTCGTTAGTCGTTAGAAGTCGTTTGGAAGCGAGAGTTTCGATCGATATTCGTCGTTAACACGTTTTGGATCGTGTACCCATCTTGACCAAGCCTATTATGCTGATTCGAGAACCTCCTTTTTGCTTGTTCCTATCGAGTTCAGTTCGTTTCATCGCTGAATCTACCACAAAGACTGCAATGAAGCGCGGACGTTCACCGAATGCACGCAGGGTCGTCGTCTCGAGCTTCTAACATCAAACGAAACGGATACGAGCTTCGAGACGAGACTACTGTCATGCACGTGATCGCGCTACATTTCTAATACGGTCGGTCGCATCGGCGTTCCTTAAAATTTTATCCGGAACAGCAGCCTATAGGACGATGTAATTATTATTTTATCCAAAAATTTTAACCGACACCGTTCGTTTAATAGTAACTTTAACGTTACAGTGGATGACCATGTAAAAACGGAAGACTTTCATAAAGGGAAACGAATCATCGCGCCGTTCAGCGTGCAAAGCTCGTGAGTCGTTGAGGGAACGAGCCAAATGCGTGAATTTGCGCGAAGCCCAAAGATCAATACAGGCGCGACGGAGTTCTGTTGTAAATAAGAATTTCTCGATGGCCGTATCGCTCGATACGACCCGCTGGTTCCTTTTTCCCCGAACAGTCTGTTGAACCTTTATATATTTTCGAGATCGATTTTTCCGTAAATGTAACGAGAATGTATAATATGCGTACCTCCTATATCATATACGGTTACTATAATATACATGTATCGGATATTTCGAATGATTTCAGATAACGTTCATCGCGTTTGAGACGGATATGCGATGAAACCGATGCGTGATCTTCGTCGTACGAGAAGTGTCGATTCGGTTTTCCTTTTATCAGATCGTATGTGATATCTGAATCAAAATTGTCAACGGAAAGACTTAGCTTTTGTATCGAGTTACTTAATTATCGTGTATGTTGTAAGTCGCATACCATAGTAAACAGGGATTCGTAGACGACTCGAGTTAGTTTATCGACAACTTCTTCGAGCTTCGAACTTGCAGCGCGTACGAAGTTCTCTGCTGCGTTTACCATGATGTCTATCAAACGCCAAAGTTTCATAATTATCGACTTTCTAAACCGATTCGCGCGTAAGTACGGTATATACCGTAAGGTTTCTCGATCGATCGATCATCAGAAGCCACTAATTAACGCTATCGTATCGATTTATTAATTTTAGAAACGTTCGATCGACATTTAACCTTCGACAGCATATGGATCGCAATAATTTTGATCTCATTAGATGTATAGCGTAGAACGATTAAAGTTTCTACACTGTGGAACGTGACAGCTTACACTGAAATGTCTGACACGTAACTATACCGTAGAAAACTTTCCGGTAATTTCGCAAGGAACCTTGTTTCAAAGTAGTTATTGCTCGAATGGTTCCTTCTTTCTTGTTATAATCTTATCATTGATATTTCATTCGATATTCTTTTACTTAGCAATCGGCCCTGATATTAATCGATGTTCGTGTATCGTAAGAACAGCGATCGAACAAACTATATAGTTGATTTTGTATCGATTAAAGTTAATGCCAATAGGACATTGAGTCGATATTTGGAATCGTAGGGTCACTTTAAGATGTTTGACACTTTCGTCTGACACGAAGATTTCAAAGAGTAGAGATCATTCATTAGCACCGTCCTTATAAATCATACAAGTATCTTCCCTCGGTGAAAAATATGTATCGTCATCGTTTATTGCTTCGGAAGTTGATAAATCGTTAATATATTACGTCCGATGGTTCTACGTTTATTTAATCGGTCAAAAGGTGCTTCGTCTACAGTGCAATAATTTGCGAGTAGTTCATTTTATAACTCGATTGAGTAGTTTTGTTACGTAACTGAATATTACGTCTCTCGCACAATGCGTTTTATACAGATATTATCCATAAATATTTCGTTAATCGTCGCTAAAAATCGGTAAGCGGACGATAAGCGTCCTCGCAACGCGGTCGGGATAATTTTTCCATGAAAACGCTTCGATTCCATACTCCATGATCACAAGCATTTTCTTATGTAACATACAAGAGACAAATGTTGTTTGTAAAGATTAAACGACTTCAAGCAATATAATTTTATTTGGATAATCGAATGCGACCGCAGCCATCCCGGAGATGGCTCGAAATATAAAGGGTATTGCCAAACTTAATTCACCGGTGTTTATTTCAAAATAAATGGTGCATATTTGAAGAAAAGAAGATAGTTCTGACTTCGCTGCTTTCTTCTTTTCGTTCATCGACGAATACTCGCGGTTCGCCAGAGATATTACTATGTGCAATGTTCAGTAAATTAATTTTGGAATACCTTGTATATTCTGTATTATAGTATATATTTGTATGGACGCAAATATATATGCTATGCAAACCAACACCTTCATCCCTGGCAAATTCCATCATACGCAGCTATTACACGTAAAGAGGTTTCGACTATTTTTCTTTCAAATTAATACGTGAATGTTATACGACATTCGAAGTGTTCGGTTTTACAGCGTTTCTGAAAAATTCCTGCAGGCCCACCGTCATTTTTTTCCGACCAAGTTCGCAGCAAATAAAGTTAAATAAACTACAGGTCGATTCAATAACTACCGCTAGGAAAATAAATTGCAATCGGTATGCGTGTTTTCGCATTCATCGCTGTTTTCCTCGAACTCGTCTCTTTTGGGCAACCACGAAGTCATTTGATGTGATTTACATTGGGCTTTGTTTTTTAGGAAATTCTGCGTCGCCCTTATCACCGGTGAAATTTTGCATACCAGCAATCTGATACACGCGGAATCAGCACCATCCAGTTTCTCGATCAGTCGAACCGGTAGATTCTCGTCATGAGCTTGCTCGATTAAGTTTTGTATCTAAAAAGAAAATTATTCGCATCTGTTATCTGGTAACTTACAATTTCTGTTTCATTTTTGTATTCAGTGTGACTCACTCTCTCGCTCTTGCTCTCCGTGATAAGTTTAGCTGGATTCCAAGATGAAGCATCAGTCTCGTCTTCCAAACTCCTGGCGGCATTTTCTTTCGGAGGTTTCAAGTTAAACAACGAACTTATCTGCAGATCGGAGACTCGCCATTATTTGATAGTAAAACATCGAGCAATAGACACGTACCATTTGCGCAAGAAATATAACGCTGTTCACAGCAATGGCTGTAACTTTCTGCGAATCCAGTCCAAAAAGACGGAAGAACGCGGACATAACGTTAGAAGGACCGAAACTTCCTTTATCCTTTGTTTTATCATCCTCTCCTCGTCTTTCCTTCTGCTTAGCGCCTAAACTTTTTGCAACCAGATCTGCGATATCCTTTGCAGTCTCCAGATAATCGGTCGCATATTCCAAGCCTGTCTTTATCTTGTCGAGAACACCTACGAGTCGAATCAATTAACGAGCTGTTGATTTATCGTGAAGCTTAAGTTTTGCGACTAACCATCATCCTCTTGAGGTAAACCGGAGGCACAAAACGCTATAGTGGAAATGCAGAAAGCGGTACACAAAAACTTCTGCATTGTATCGCGACTGGAGCTTTTCCTACACTAAGAGTTACATTCGACCTGGTTCTAACGGATGTTAATTACTTGTTTCCACCTTGTTGATTCGTAACGTTCCTGTTCCTAGTTGGTCGCGTGATGACCACGATTGAAACTCTTTTCGCTTTGTCAACCAAGCACGAGAGACGAGATCTCCAGATTCGGAGAGCCTCATTACCTTTTCGAACTAGTACGAAACGAACCTTGTCGATGAAACATCGTTGTCGGTGAAGCATCGTTCGCGAGATTCACAACTCAGTTTAAATCGTAAAATACAGTTTAACATGAATACCGGCGTGATACCGTTTCTATTGATATGTCTCTGCTTGAAAGTTACATTGGCAAATCGGACATCGTTTTATACGCAGGAAGTTTATTGTTTGAGCGAACTACCAATGAGTGAATTAATTCAAATAAAGTCCTCACTCGCGGATGAAGAAGGTAAACTTTTTCGAAACCTTAGAAACACATTCAACTTAAGAAGGTAATTGAAAAATGAAATCGATTAAATAAATTTACGAGCGTAGATGTTGTCGAGGAAGATGTACAAGCCGAAGAGATATCGAGTAGAACATTTTCGTCATCATTGCCCGTTGCACAGCCCTTGAAAAGAATGAACAAAAAGCCAATGAGACGTTACGAAGATTATCACGAAGATAAGGGGAAAGATACGAAAATTTCAAAGATATTCCAATTGTCAGTCACAGCGCTTTCGTTTCTTGCTTTCGGTGGCTATTTGCTTAGTCTTATAATAACAGCAATTCGTCAAAACGCAATGGGAAACACGGGCAATGGAAACGTTATAGTGCTCTCAGTGAGTTGATTTTTTGTTTTAGGCGATCGAGTTACAAAATTGAGAATCGAAGCTGACATATTCTACATACAAAAATGACATTCGCATTTCAGAACCTGCAGGGTTTGCAAAACTATAATCGTCCAAAAAGAAACTCCCTTATGCACGATACGGCAGAGAACGATTCCGAAATCGAGAAGCTGTACCAAGGAATGATCCTGCTGTCAAAATCTTATACAATGTACAATATTAATTGATGATGCTTTGAATGGATCTAAAAGTAGAAATACAAGACTTACGTTCGCCACTATCGATGGATATCGCTAGACTTTTGCTAGAAAATCACGGATAGTAGAATCTCGGATAGTTGAAAACGTAAGTTTCGTATTCGAGGATCGATCTGATCGATTGACACGAGAATATAAGAGATTCGTGGTAAAAATTTCTGATCGTGATTGACGGACTCAATTAGGGGTTCGCTTATCATGATTCGCCGGACTCTTGAAAATCCTAAAACCTAATAAAATCGAATAGAGGATCACGGTGTGTACATATCCCGAAGAATATTCTTAGCATGTGGGTAGAGGCTGCTTCAAACATGGCTCTTCAAATAAACACCTAAGTGACTGTATACTCCGAAAGTCTGCATGCAAAGATAACCATATGGCTTCCAGAGATATCATCAGCCATACGTCTCTATGCTATTATTCCTCAGACATGTATAACCCGAATAGCGTCTATTTCTGTTTTTTGGAACTTCATTTCTAAAAAGATTACCGATTACGTTCAAAATTTTCGTTCTCGTGATTCCTCGATGTAATCGAATTTATTTAATGATAGCGGTAGGTAACGATTTACAGTAGTACATGTGAAAACTATAATTTCTATAAAAAGATGACCTTAAAGAATTGTAATCTGTATAATAAATTATATTCGAATAAAATGGAACTATATCTAGTTGCAATATCAAAGTGTTTTCTTAATTATATTTTATATTTTTTTTTCTCTTAAATTTATTTTTAAATTTCCCGGTAATTTATCCCGTTTTATGCGTTAAGCGTATTTTATAATATTTATTTGGTGAAACGCATCAAATCGGGAATTCTTCCGAGCAATGCTCCATCGAGTCTGACATCAGACTCATCGTCCTTCAGGGACCAATCTTCTGAGAGCCACGCCTACACCGTCCATGTGGACCAATCCCACGTACGAAATTGCAGCGAGCTCGGATCATTTTTTTTTTAAACCAAATTCCGTTCTGAACATGGCAGGAACTCGTTCACTCGTTCATTCTGATGCACTTCCGTGAAAGTCATTGTTTAACCTGTAACTATTTTCGTTGACACCAGTGACTGATAATTCGATCATCTTCTATTTGTAATCGGCGAAGAATCGGATCATTGTCAAAAACACTGTGTCCACTTTTAATCATGACATAAACTTCGTAGTTCGGTGGAGTGTACTTGTGCGTGATTTATTTGGATTACGATTTCAAGTGGAGCATTGTTGGAAAATGTCGTAGTCGTTAAAAGTGTGCGTCGGAAATATTAGGATAATCGGAATCTCGTGTAAGTGAGTTAAAGGGAAAAGATAAAGATGAACGAAGTGAAAACTCGCGTTGTGGATACGAATTGTTCGAAGCAATTGAAGTTTGGAGTAGAACGTATATTGTCGGATGAAATTTCATCGAAGAAAACAGGTAATGGAACGAAAAACGGCTATCTATCGTGTTCTTCAAATTATTTTCTTTATTTCCATTAGTTGACTCGATTTTCAAAAAAAGTAATCGTTATGAAATGGACATCGTACTGCCTGTTTGACCTGCATGGTCAACTTCTGAATAAATATATATGTTTCGAAAGATGTACTAAGGCCGCTTCCGGTACAATTTTCCACGGTGCGGTGTCCTTGTCCTGGAGGTTGCGTCAGGTGCGAAGCCCTACGAATTTGCCCTCCATTTTCTTACGTTCAAACTGCGATTTCCGGAAACTACGCAAGTACCAACCATGGAAACGGAGTAGTCGAAAATTATACGAGTATTTATCGACCGGCTCCACTTCGACCTGTTCCCAGAGGTGAGAAATTAAAAAGTGTAATCTTTGCTCGTAATCTATTCTTTGTTCTATGTATAGACGTATTTCTAAAATTAATACAACTATATTACGCGAGTTAATCGATTTAACGTTATTCGTGATCGTTTCGATGCCTTTAGCGGAAATCGTCTAAAAACCCTAGCTCATGAAACGAAAGTTGCGTCATTAACAAATGTGACCATATGGACTACTGTCTTGTCTCCGAATACTCGACAGCAAGTAGAGCAAAATATTTACGCGTCAGTGTATTCCCGTGTTTCCTGTTCGTGTTTAAACGACATCTTAAGTGCCACCATTCGTTTATAGTCGATGTAAACAGCGGTTTCGTCGTACTCCTTCTTGGTTAGCTAAAAAGTCGAAAACCTGGACTCCCCTTTGCTTTTCGTTCGTATATTGTTTACATGTGATAAAAATATTGATATAATAAAAGATCACCGAAAACTAAGCAGAAACGGATGTTTCCAAATGATTCAACCGCTTATAATCGACGACTAACAATAGAATAAGTAAGAATTTATCAATAGAAGTTGCACTTTCAAACGATAGCACAAAGTTCCCGAAATAAGTATGACCTTACTAACTGTTAGCCATCCAATTCATGCGGAGGACCGTACCAACCGGAGAGAGAACCACACTGTTTAAACTCGTACACATGTTGTATACTTCTGTAGGGCTGTAAATCAGCCAGAAGTACCCAATCTTGGAGGCCTCTTGTTCGGGATAGGATCTGTTGAAACAGACACCCATCCAGCTAAGACTACCGTTTACAATGTTTACATCATGTCACGTTTCCCTCTAATTTGTAATCTTGCACTAGCGTCCACCGCGACGAATCCTCAAGCCTCTGTTTTATCCAACCAAGCACTTCCCCTTACCGTGTTTGTATAGGATCTAGAAATATTTCGAGAGCGATTAAAACCTTTTAGCTTTTTACGAACTTTTACAGTACCGATATCGTCTGCCTCGACACCGACCAATCAATCAGAGACCAATACCAGAAGAAAAAGATCGTGGTCGAGGGCTGTGTTCAGTTCTTTGCAACGAAAAGGTTTGGAAAGAAGATTTTCTCTGCAAAAGTACATCACGAAACCGGACAGGCGGCAACTTGCTGCTACTTTAGGCTTGACAGACGCACAAGTATAACATTAAATTAGCTGCGAACGTAAAGCAATTGGAAAAGTCGAATTCGAACGATGATCTGTTCTTCTCAGGTAAAAGTCTGGTTTCAAAATCGACGAATGAAATGGCGGCATACGAAAGAGAGCGAAAACACTGCTTTATCGAACTCCGATTCCCAGAAGGAATCGCCTAGAAAATTAGCGAAGGATGATACAAAGAGTGCAACGACTGAAAAGACTGTTTCGGAAGACGAAGAGGATGTGGAGATCGAAGTTGATGTGTGAATTTTACAATGTACATTTACGATGTTTCATATCGTCTAGTTTGTAATCTGTAATGATAAATTTTTATGTTAAATAAAGTTTATACGTAAATAGCTTTATTCCGTTTGTTTGGATTCGACACGTACTTCACCCTGTTGTGACGCCATTTGCAAAAACGACATTAACATTTTTTTTGCCGGTTACCAGGACAACTAAGCTGTTATTTCTTTCCTAAAAGAAAATATTAATCGGGGGCTAACAAACTGCGGTTTAAAATGCAACGATTATTACCACGTTTAATGTCGATTTCTCGACAATATTCGGTGATGAAGATGTCGAAACCTCTGGCAGCAAGCGAGAGTCAGAAATGTCTAAATATCGACACTTCCGATCTTCTCTGTAAGTATTTTTGAAAATACTGTCCTCGTTAGGTTATCAATATTTCTCTGCATTTTAGCTGCATCCATGACTCAGTCACAGGCAGCTTCTGTCGTCAACGAGTCTTTACGCGCAGATGCGATTCCTCTGCTGGATCAAACGGCTGCAGAAGTTTCAACTACTACGTTCGAGGTGACTACATCGAAGATCGAGTCGCAGATTACCGGTGATAAGACGCCATTGCCATTCGAAGAGATCCCTGGACCGGCGATTTTGAAGATTTGGGAGAAATATTGGAAATACGTGCCGCTCCTCGGTACGCAAGTGCTTTCCAGTCTGCTAATCAACAGATTCACCCAGGGTACGATCTGTTGAAGTACCAATAGGTTGAAATTCGAAGAGACCAGTATCGTTTCTATCTGTACAATTATCGTTAGAGAATTTTAAATGCGATCGTAAGAAATAGTGGACAGAAAACTTTTAAAAGGAAAATTCGATTTGCTCTTCGAATTTCCAAATGCGCGTTCCCTTTGGTATCTCGATGAAAGAATAGTTACAGAAAATAAAAGAATTCAGACGATATCACGTAAATCTCATAAAAGTTTGAAATAGCTCAGTGTCAATCCTGTCTCTGCGAAGATAGATGATTGTTAAATTTCAAATGACGAACAAATTTTCAGGACGACTGACGTGGAATCGCAATGTAACACCTTTAAAATATTTATTCAACGAATACGGTTGTATCGTAAGAATTAATGGACCTCTTTCAGGAGACATTGTCATGATTCACAGGTAACCTTTCCCAAGGTAATAATTTTCGATAGCTCTATCTTATTACGCTTTTGCTCATTACCCTTGTTCATTAATGTAGACCCGAACACATAGCAGAGGTCCTTAAGCAGGAAGGCGATACGCCTATAAGAAGCGGAATCGATATTCTACAACATTATCGACTGAACTATCGTAAATATCGTCTTGCAGGGCCGTTTTCTATGTAAGTAAATACCTGCACCTATCACAGATAATTTGTATACACGTAAAATTGAAATCTATTGATCAAAAAATTATTCAGGCAAGGTACAGAATGGTTAGAAGTGAGAGAAAAGGTAGAGCAAATATTCGGTCAAATTGCTCCAAGCTTTTTTGGGAAGATCGATACGATTTGCGACGAAGTTATTACTAGGATATACAAAATACGTAACAGACAAAATGAAGTATATATATTACAGTTTATACAATTTGGTAATGTTAACCTTACGATACAAAACGATAAATTAATGACGCGAATAGGTGCCTGCTAGTTTCCACGAAGACATGATTCGCTGGGCCATGGAGTGTTTTTACGACGTAACATTCAACAAGCGGCTCGGCTTTTTGGAGTCACCAGGCTACAATCCGACGTCCGAAACATCAAGAATTATTAACGCCTTGTTAACAGCTCACAAGTACATGAGCCGCTGTGAAACTGGCTTTCAAGTGTGGCGATTTTTCTTGACTCCATTCGCTAAGAAGCTCTTCGAAGCTTGTGACGTGCTCGATAAGTAAGTTGATGACCAAAATTTCGTACATGGAATTATTTCCAGGAAATTTCGTGAACGTCTTCTTCAGTGTCATAGGAAAATATGTCCGCCAAGCTCAAGGTAAACTTCGAATTCGCAAATCCCATGTAGAAAAAAGTTTAATGGTTGAGGATAGTTCACCTGTTTTGGAAAAGCTTCTCGTGAACGAAGGTATTCATCCAGATGACATTTGTACGTTGCTGATGGATATGATCATTTTAGGTGTTCAAGCGGTAATTATTGACAGCATAACAGCAGTGACAATTATGTATAATGAAATTTAACGTTTATTCGATTTCTAGACGGCAAACTCCGAGGCGTTTATATTATATAATTTGGCAAAGAATCCACGGACGCAAAGAAGACTCTACGATGAAATTACTTCTGTTTTGCCAAATAACGACGCTCCTTTCACGGAAAGAACATTGAAAAATATGCCATATCTGAAAGCTTGCCTTCAAGAAACTTTAAGGTAGTAATTTTCATAAGAGTACACATCGAGTAGATATCACTATTATATTATTACGATAATGATTTATTTGATTCAAAGACTACACCCTGCTATTCCCTACATCACTAGACTGTTACCAAAAACCATACATCTTCATGGATATACGATACCTAAAGGGGTAAGCGTAATAGCAAAATGTAGTTAAGTAAGATTATTGCTTCGTTAAGAAATAAATTCTTATAGACATTTGTCATAATGGCAAATCAAATTACTTCGCAACGCGAGGAGAACTTCGAGGATCCGTTAAAATTCCGGCCAGAAAGATGGTTGTCTAGTTGTGCAAAAGAAGATACAGACTTCAGCTATTTACCTTTTGGATATGGTGTGAGATCATGTTTAGGGAAAAGTATGGCTGAAATAAAAATGATGCTACTGACAGCAAAGGTATTTACTGTTAGGTTTAATCATATTATTGTAATCGTTATTAATTGATCGCGTTATTCATATTTCAGCTTGTACGACAATTCAGAGTTGAATATGATTATGCTGACATCAAAAGCAATTTTATGATGGTGAATGTACCCAATAAGCCACTTCGTTTCCGTTTCGTGAATAGATATTAGTCTATACGATAATAATCAAGTACTAGTTACTGCAAAGAAACGCATAGATAGGAATATATTATGTTTCTTGTTATTAAATCAACACTTGGAATACAGCGAGGCATAATTTAGACTAAATAACAGTAATTGTGATTTATCGTACATTTTTATTGGACATTCATTACGTCAATAGAAAAAATGAAATAAAATATTGTTAGAAAGGATTTTGGTTTAATTTATTATCTATTCGAGACTGTTTAGACGCGTAATCCGACATTGGATGTTGAGAAAAAGTTAAAAACTTAAAGGCGTACAGAACCTGTAAAATGGATATAACAAGAAATCTTTTAACAATATTTCTAAATTATAAAATCCAGATTACCTTCACATAGAATTTGAAAGACAGGCACTTTGAAGTCCGTACATCTTTACGCATGTTTGTCATTATCTCCATCCATGGGACACCATGAACATTGTAGGCAACGTTACGTGCCTATTTTAGATGTACAGGTAATCCTTACGAATTAACCTATAAAATCGTTTCTATAATTTTGCCAGCATCCCAAGTTTATCCTTTTGATCGTAGTGCTCTGAGAATGAAATATAAAAAATTATTTAGATGTAACGTCAAATATAAAAATATGCACATCTTGCTCAAAAAATTATCCCGTAAACGGGACAACTACGGAAAATAAATTCCCGAAGAAAATAATAAAAAAATTATACGAAAATTTATACCGATGCATAACATGATTTCTATAGAATAGCAGACCTGTATATCTTCTATCTGTAATAACAAATAGCACCTGCTACTTTATTTTTCCAATTTAGCTCTATCATCAACCCACACTGCTTTACTGCGCAACCAATCAAGAATAAAAGTATTAGCTGGCATTATATGAATAAACGGTAGGTACCTTACAATTAGATAAACTTTCTTCCACTAAATCTTTAAATAAGGCAGCTTACTCAATTTTACACTTAAAAATTTTTCCGTAAAACTCATCGTAGAGCTTAATGTTCAGTGCAGATTGGAAGCGCGTCATCTTTCCTAACGGTTGAAACTAGTGGAATTCAATTAATGAAATAAACAGATCACGGGAAACAATTTACTGTGTAACGATTAAGTCATTACAAAATTCATAAATGATTGTTAAATATCGCCAACTACTCAATCTTCATCTTGATACATAACAACTCGTAGAGCCGTAAACATAGAAAGCACGTTTGTGATGAACTGAAATATCAAATAGTTGGTACCTAAATTATTACAATGACAAAGATGGCAGTAAAATCGATTAAGAAAAATCGTTCCATTACCGAGCAATAATAGTTCAGTGAGAAAGCTGGAATGATACACTTGATTCGTAAGATGACCGGAGATTGTGGAATCATCATGAATAATATAAATTTTTGCATCCTTAGAGACTGTTCATACCATTTAGATTGGTAAACCGCACGCATAGTATTTTCACTCTAGTAGAAAAATACACTTAACTGTAATTCTTAATCTGAAGCTACAATACTAAAATTTAAAACTTACTACATCTATTAAATTGTCAGCTGGCCACGCGCACATGAATACCGCCATTAGCACAGTTACAGATACGGTAACAAATTGAAGTTTCAGAGTAAATGGTTGTCGCTATTTGTTCGAGCAGATTTTAATAATCTTAATTGTAATAGCATATTAATTTGTCTTATTCGTTACTCACTCCGATAAAAATGATACCAGCAAATACGCTTTCTACGCCACAGATGCATAGCGTAATCAGAGTCGTATATCGAGCCGTGTCCGCCACTTCTTCTGCGTATCTAAAACCACACGTTTGAAAAATATCTATGATATTTTCTAATACCTTATATTCTCTAAGATATACAGTTTAATCGAGTTCTTTTTCATCGTAGAATCGTTGCATACCTTTTCAGAGAATAATATTTTTTTACGCATTTTATCAATGAGTTAACACCGTTAGCGGTACGTATTTCGGTCATTAAAATCTCGAAGCGCGCTGCAGCGAAGAGCAACAGTAACGCGCAAAGTATATTAGTGCACAGAAGTGACGAGCACTGCATACCCACGAGCGATTGTTGCAAGAAAATTATGCTTCTCACGGGTTCAAAATCAACTGGGAACGGATATTCTGCATTCGTTGGAAAGGGATCGGGTAAGAAGAATGTTCCGATGGGAACAATTGCACCGCACCAATAAAACCAAGCTGCAGATGCCGCGTAGTATATGGCGTACTTGTCCACGTATCGTTGGAAGACCTGTCTCTCGTATGAATTTGCTTTCTTACAACAAGATTTCATCTCTTCGATTAATAGCTGCAATACGTTCCTGGAATCACTATCTTTTGAGAGTGCTATTACTGATGAATCTTACCTGATATCGATCATACTGATTGAAACAGTAGAAGGAATGCAGAAGTACTTGTAAAACAGCAAGTGCCAAAGAAATTGCTTTACAAAACATTACTGTATCATAGCGGTGCACATATATTGCATACAACAAAGGACAAAAGAGTAAAAGTGCATTGAGAAATAACACGGATCTCAAGATCTTGAAGCAAAGTGTCTGAAACTTTGTAGCCGTCGATGAAAGCGGCCAACAACAGGACAATCCCAGGATAAATTGAGTAAAAGCTATCGCTGTTTTTGGCGCTACATTTCGAAACATACCGACGCGAACTTAAAGCCGACTACCGTGTCAAGAGATCACAACGTTCTGTCTTCAAGCAGAACGCTTTACTGTGGAATAATTCGCGAGAATTCTAATGAAACTAATAAAGAAATCGTGTAGAGGTAATAGTTCAGTTGTATGCAGTTACTTGCCTATTCTTAGTACGAAAGAAATAAAATATGAAATAATTCCTGTTGCAATACTAATAACAGCCTGAGAGTTTTCTCTCGAATTCCGCTTGAATACGTAATTCTCCTTTATGTGCTTACCACTGTGGGAGATATCGCATATGGAACAGGCTGCAAATTAGTCGACACATTTCGCAGTACGACGTCTAACATAAGTTCACTATCTGCGAGTATTAGAAGTAATAATTATACACAAAATGTTTGAACGATGATAGCTTAGGTAAAAAAGATCCCTTTCCAAGTAAACAAATAATTGATGTTAAATGATTCAGGCATTTATTAGATGTGTAAGTACAAGCAATGAAACGAAAGGTATCGTTTGTTCAGTTACTGTAGTATCCAATTACGAATAACGCAGTTTCTACAATGTCCGTTGTTATGTTTCGAAAGTGGTTTTCATTGAAATAAATATCTGTGTGCATAGAAATTCGTAAAAAGCAGATGTTAATACACGATTAGTTATGAAATAGTGTGACATTAGTCGCGATTATCACAAGAAATGGTTCTTTACGTTCTTATTAAATGGTTCATACAGTATCTCTGATTAATTCTTTCATAATTATAACGCTCGAACGCTAACTTACGTTAACGAAGAGAAATGACACAAAGAGAATTCTAGTGCTATACGTCCGAGGGAAAGTATCAATGTAAATGCGTAAATTTGCAGTTCTGCAAAAGATGTGATTCTTGGGAAAAGATACACGCAATCTTGGTGATGACGAAGGAACACTGAACGGTTGGCCATAATTCGCGACACGTTTGTCGTGTTGTGTCTGGTGCATTACGATTGAAAGATTGCTGATTACGTCAATGGGTGACTTTTTCAATATTTAATATTGATGAAACGCACGAACTAGATCCGACTGGTTCTGAAATCTTGCAGCGATCGTATAAGAGTATGAACCATTTCTTTAGCTTTGGGAATGTTGTGTGTTGTATGAGTTCTTTCCATTTCAGTGTTATCTCGCGGTCTATTTTTGACTTAAATAAGTATTAAAGGAGGGTATCTACAGTCGGTTGCGTGAGAGCTTCTAAGACGCGATTGTGAGATTTCCTGTGATTTAAGAATCATCGAAGTTCTTGGTTCGGAGCGCGATGAGTTCACGGTAGTTCAAGCAGAACCTTCAAGCGATGTAACGATTATTGCTGGCTGATTGTATCGTTTTTCTAGAATTCCCCAAACAGGTGAATAGTTTATCGCGTTGTTACCGAAAGATTCGATCGCTTTAACTGATTTCGTGTCGTAGGCAGGATCGCAAGTATATACATGAATTTTCTTCATCGATTCCTATATTGTCGTGAACAGTGCCATTTCTCGTAAGAATCCATAAATATTGGCAAATTTATTTTAGAAAATGTGATTTCATTTTATAAGAAGTCGGTATGAGACTGAAATGTGTTTTGAAAGATCCGTGTATTTTCTGTCGAATTTTGTGATTGAGTAGATTGAGTAGATTGAGTAGAGCAATTGATAATTATCTACAAAAGAGGGTCTCAACTCCAATTGTTGTGTGTTGAATTCATGTCACGTGTTTTATATTATGCACTGAATTTTAGATATGCTGTAGAGCGGAGAATCATAAGTTATATACATAAGTTATTCGTTCGTGGTGTGAACCGATCGTGGTTCAAAATATATGACAAAAAAAAAAAAGGTACTTATCACATTACATTTACTCCAATGCAGGTGGTTAAAAGTGAAATTGCTTAAGCATCTGCATAGGATTGCGATCGTAACAGTGATAAGGCATGGATAGATTAGATCTTTTGAGCCACGATCGTCCGATGCCTCGGACAAAGTGAATGTGAGTCAAGACATTCTTCTCTATAACATCTCTCAATGTTAAGATCATTGGAGCTGAGTGTACGACGTCCATCTGATCTAATTCGACCTGTGATTTAATGAATGAGATAAATTCGTCTTCTGAATCTTCTAACCATACGCCAATATTCGTTACGGGTGTCTCTTCGTCATAGTTATCGAGTAAGCATGCGAATTCTACTTTAAATGGGTCACGTTTCGATTTCAAAAACTTCATGCGATCTTCGTGACTATGAGCCACATTATATGTATTTTTATGTGGAGATAGGGTAAAAAAACACGGAATCTAAGTGATATAAATAAGTGATTCGGGAGCAAAAGTACGACTGACTGTTCGAAGCGGAGATACGACTGACACGATGAAGAGATATGTGCTGCTTCTAGTCAAGCTTACGAATACTACAACCTTATATGGTGTTCACTTGTCGTTGAAGGAGTGTTGCGTGGATGTGACGCTCCTAACGCTTCTGACGCAATTGACTCTAAGCAATGGCTCCTGTCCTGAGAGCGGATGTCAATTTTCTTGAACGGTTGACTTCATTTGCTTCATTCGATTCTGTCGTTGTTGGATATCACTTTTTCCGAGTAACCGACTCCTTTGGAAACGATGAGTTCTTCTAAACACAGGTTCGATAGAGTTCTTCCTCCGAGGATGACACTCCTGATGTTACTGACTTCAGTGATGTGATCTTCAATTTCTTCCGGATTGATGCTTCCTCCTTGGTACCGATATACGGTTCGAAGAACCATGTGGAATCGAGCGAAAGGATTCCCATTTGATTAAGGGGTGTAACCAACAGTGTAATGTGGCAACAGTGGCTGTTGTCATGTGTAGTTGCAAGAAATAGATTAATTACTATTGATTGATTGTGATTTTTATATATGTATATATAGCTGTGCAAAGTTCGCAATGCTGTTACGATATTTAAAACGTTTCGCGATGTGTGAAGCGATTTACCGAGAGATAGCAATTTGACTTGCCTTTATGACTAGAATTCTGACGAAAATGTGCTGTTTCAGTATTCTTAATACCTTGTATCCTCCCTTCCATTGCACGTTATGCCCGTTGGAAGGGTCATCGAGGGCCAGTGTTACGTGCGAGTATCCAGGAAGTGAAACATACAACCTTGAGGAATATTCGAAAGGGTTCGGCTTATATTACGGAAACCATTAGATTGGCCGTCGCATGACCGCTTGAAAAATTCAAGGTTTATGACAGAATCTCAGTTATTAAGCACCGAAAAAGTGGTGTGAACAAGTTAAAAGGGTATAGTACATCCGCTAAATTACTCACGTGCCATTTCAGCGTTACCACACAGGTGGTCGAAGCACAAAACTTCTATTTGTCAAAAGTAGCAACTGTTCAATGCATGTCATTATTTCTGTGAAATAACAGACTCGTATGTTTCCTATTTGTAATAGTAAATTGCATCTGCTACTCTATTTCTCAAATTTAGCTCAATCATCAACTTACACTGCTCTAACATGCACCCCTTCAAGAACAAAATTCCTATGTGGTATTATACGAGCAAGCGGTAGGTACCTTACAGTTAGATAAATTTTCTTTCACTAGATTTTTAAATCAGACAGCTTACTCAATTTTTGTTCATTGCTTCAAATTTTTTCCGTAAGATTTAGAACTTAATGTTTAGTGCACCACGAATTCGAAACGCGTTCTTTCCCTTATGCAACTTTCCTAACAGTTGAACTAGTGAAATTTAATCAATAAAATCAGCAAATCACGGGAAACAATTTACTGCATAACAATTAAACCATTACATAATTTACAAAATTCAAACGACTGCTAAATATCGTCAGGTATTCCATCTTCATCTTGAAACATGACAACTCGTAGAGCCGTAAACATAGAAAGCACGTTTGTGATGAACTGAAATATCAAATAGTTGGTACCTAAATTATTACAATGATAAAGATGGCAGTGAAATCGATTAAGAAAAATCACTTCATTACCGAGCAATAATAGCTGAGAGAGAAAGCTGGAATGATACACCTGATTCTTAAGATCACCGGAGATTGTGGAATCATCATGAATAATATAAATTTTTGTATCCTCAAAGGCTGTTCATACCATTTAGATTGGTAAACCGTTCTCATGGTACTTTCACTCTGGTAGAAAAATACACTTAACTGTAATTCATAATCTGAAGCTACAATACTAAAATTTGAAACTTACTACATCTATTAAGTTGTCAGCTGGCCACGCGCACATGAATACCGCCAATAGCACAGTTATAGATACAGTAACGAATTGAAGTTTCACAGTAAATGGTTGTCGCTATTTGTTCGAGCAGATTTTAATAATTTTAATTGTAATAGCATATTAATTTGTTTTATTCGTTACTCACTCCGATAAAAATGATACCAGCAAATACGCTTTCTATGCCACAGATACATAGCGTAATCAGAGTCGTATATCGAGCTGTGTTCGCCACTTCTTCTGCGTATCTAAAACCACACGTTTGAAAAATATCCATGATATTTTCTAATACCTTATATTCTCTAAGATATACAGTTTAATCGAGTTCTTTTTCACCGTAGAATCGTTGCATACCTTTTCAGAGTGTAATACTTTTTTACGCATTTTATCAATGATTTAACACCGTTAACGGCACATATTTCGGTCATTAAAATCTCGAAGCGCGCTGCAGCGAAGAGCAACAGTAACGCGCAAAGTATATTGGTGCACAGAAGTGACGCGCATTGCATACCAACGAGCGATTGTTGCAAGAAAATAATGCTCCTCACGGGTTCAAAATCAACTGGGAACGGATATTCTGCATTTGTTGGGAAGGGATCAGATATGAAGAACGTTCCGATGAGAATAATAGATGGGCTCCAATAAAACCAAACTGCAGATGCTGCGTAGTATATGGCGTACTTGTCCACGTATCGTTGGAAGATTTGTCTTTCGTACGAATTTCCTTTCTCGCAACAAGATTTCATCTCTTCGATTAATCGCTGCAGTACGTTATTTGGATCACTAAATTTTGAGATGACCATTAAAGATGAATTTTACCTGATATCGATCGTGTTGACTGAAGCAGTAGGTGGAATGCAGAGGTACGTGTACAACGGCAAGTGTCAAAGAAACTGATTTACAAAACATTGCTGTATCCTCACGGTGAACATATATTGCATATAGCAAGGGACAAAAGAGTAAAAGTGAGTTGAGAAATAACACGGATCTCAAAATTTTGAAACAAAGTATCTGAGACTTGGTAGCTGTCGATGGAAGCGGCCAACAACAGGACAATCCCAGGATAAATTCAGTAAAAGCTATCGCCGTTTCAGGCGTCGCATTTCGAAACATACCGCCGCGAAGTTAAAGCCAACTACCGTGTCAAGATATCACACCGTTCTGTCTTCAAGCAGAACGCTTCGGTTTGAAATAATTCTTAAGAATTGTAATGAAACAAATAATGAAATCATATAGAGGTAATGGTTCGGTTGTATACAGTTACGTGAGTATTCTTAGTACGATTGAAATAAAATATGAAAGAATCCCTATTGCAGCACTAATAACAGCCTGAGAGTTTTCTTTTGAATTCCGCTTTATTACGTAATTCTCCCATGTGTGGTTACTGCTGTGGGAGACATCCCATATGGAACAGCCAGCAAATTAATGGATACATTTCGTAGTACAGTGTGTAACATAAGTTCACTATCTACGAGTATTAGAAATAATAATTATATACAAAATGTTTGAACGATAATAGCTTAGGTAATAAAATTGCCTGTCCAAGTAAACAAATAATTGATGTTAAGTTATTCTCGAAGTGTTATCGCTATGTTACATGTGGAGGTACTATGAATTAAATGAAAGGTATTGTTTGTAAGTTACTATAGCACAAGCAGAGAGGTTATACCTATGGAGGGGTCTTGGCCATATACCAGGAATAAGAAAATGCGTATCAGGTGTAATTATGAGAGAGGTATTACTTATGTCTCTATAGTAATTCCTTCACTCTGAGTTTTTCTCTTACGGGGCGCTATTCAAACAACGACGGATCGCGGTGAGGGGCGAAGGAGAGTGATTTTTTCATTTTGTATATATATATACTATATGTATGTATCTATTTTGTTTAACTGTTTGTGCATTTATATTTCTTTAATTATCTCTAATAAGTAATTTATATTTTGCACCATATCAATGATGCAAATATCATGCCTGACCTAGTTTATTAATTTCAACAATATTATCGTATACTTTTTTAATTGTACAAAAAGATTTGAAGTGAATGGTCAAAGAAACCTTTAGTTATTTGAGAGATAAAGTAGAATACGGTCATCAGACCACACACTTACGGGTATATGACCACAAGGCCGGCAACCACGATAATGACTAGGAACAGAAAAGTGTATTTCTTTCCGTTGATCCTATCCGTACGTGCTGGGACCCCTCCATTAGTATAAGCTCCATGAACACAAGTATCCAATTACGAATAATTTAGCTGCTACAATGATCCCAGTTATATTCTTCTTATGGTCTTCACTCAAATAAATATTTGTGTTCATAAAAATCCATAAAAAGACAATGTTAATACACGATTAGTTATGAAATAGAGTGACATTAATCGCGATTATCACAAAGAATGGCTTTTTATACGAATAGAACCACGTTCAGAGCACATTCATCTTGAATTAATTCTGTATCATGACGCGCAAAGTAGTGAAGATGGAGAAGGCATTGGACAGGTACTGAAATGTTAAAGATTTATTATTTATATAATACCTTTGACTAATTCTTTCGTAACTATGACACTTCAACACCAATTTGTCTTACCGAACAATAATAACGCAATGAGAGTTCTGGCACTATACATCTTATGGAAAGTACTAATGGTTTTTGATATGTTAACATATTCAATAGATTTTTCTGCATTTCCAACCTCCGGTCATACCAGGTCGAATTATATGCACTTTGCGGGATGCCCATGCTCTAAGAATTATGACACATTAACAAAGATTAAAAATTTACTTTGTCGGAAAATAGAATATGATTTACCATATCTATCAAGTAATCAGCTGGCCATGTGTATAAGTAAATTTCCGTAAGTACAGTAACACATGCACCTATATACTGTATCTTCACGAACAGAGGTACATCCTGTTTAACAAATTTGTGTCAATACTTAAATAGAATAATCATTGTCATATGCATTATACTATACGCAAAACGTTATAAAGTATACGTACTACAATCATCATAATACAACACAAAGTCAAAGCAAATGTGGCTACTCCAACAGCGTAAAGTACCATAAAACGAAAATTATTAAGCACTTCTTCTCCGTATCTATAAAAAATAATCGCTAATACTGTACATAAATGTATCGTTTAATACACGCTTCATCTTCCACATGTTATTTTTACCTTCTTAAATGTAATTGTTTCTTAACGCAATCGATCAACGTATCAGTGTCTGTGCTCCGCTCCAGATTCACGGCCAAACACTCAAATCTCGCTGCCGTGAACCAAAGTAAAAGCCCTCCAAACGAGCTTATGCATATTTGCGCAGCGGATTGAAAACAAACGCAAACATGTTGCATATATATGATAATATATACTGATGTATAATTTACAGGAAACGGATATTCCACATCAAATGGGAAAGGAACAGGCAAAATTGCAGGTCGTAATGAAAAACCAACCGCAGTCACATACGTACATGCTATGGAACAACCGCAGAAAACATAGCACTTCTTGATGTACTTGTAGAAAATTTCTCGTTCATATTGTTCCGCTTCTTTGATACAAACTATCATTTCCTCGACTATACGCTGTAACTCATAGTTAGGATGAATTGGTATAATTTTGGCTGTGGTATAGGGGACGTCACGCCGATTTTGATAGGTCTGAAATATGTATGATGTCAAGATCTATATGCTGCATAATTTTTCCCAATACACATAATTCCAACTCGCTCATAGTTTTCCAGTGATACGTAAAAATATTGTTATTATGTACCATGTCCTTAATGTTTCGAATTTGTTTGAATTTATCTGAATTAGGTTTTTGTTAGATTTAAGTTAGGTTTGACGTACGTTATTAACCCTTCCATCTGTATTAATGCTTCAAAAGTAAACTAAATCAGACATAACAATAATGTTAGATTGCCAAAATTCCTACAGCCATCTAAATCATGATAGTAAATAATGAGATGAATATCATTAATCCAGGCGTTGCAGCACATACTAAGAAAAAGTATTAATCTTTACAAAATACCTCAAATTCAACAAAATCGATGAAGCGTCCTTTATTCCAAATAGTTATCTATTGTTGCATCAAGTAACGACAGATACTAAAACTTACCTGTAAAGACACGTGTTTGACGCAGCATACGATAGTCTGAAATATATTTTGTGATACACCTATTGTAAGGCAGACACACGAGGAAGTAGCGATCAAATCATCAAAGTGTACATAACAAAAATATAGCATTGGCAGAAATAGCAAACAGGCACTTATAATACTGCAGATCTGCAATATCTTGAAACAAAAGATTTTATTTCTGTCACTGTTGATAGGAAGCGGCCAACAAAGAGTTATAACTACACTGAGCCACGTAATGTGAATAACTTTCTCTGGTGTTATTTGTTTCGTCATGACTTCAAAAAGTGTTTGCCCTGTGAATCTAACGCAATAGATTTAACTGGTGCCAGAGTTCGATATATACAGACTATCGAGGGATAGAACATATGTAATTTAATCGTTTTTAATCCAAGAGTATATTCACAATCGTCATTGGCATATAATTGGTTTGTACGTACGAGAAATTTAATAAATTATTACACTGAAGAACAAGTTTTATCGGTTTGCGATTTTCTTCACAGTAGGCCGCTGCCAGCTGACTTGACGCTAATCATTATTGCTTGCATTATACATTAAAAGTATGTACCGCATTAGACACGTGCAAAGGGTAGTTATCACGCAACGGAGTTAATATTCGCGAAAGTCAAGAAGCGTTCGTTAAAATAAAGTTGCACACGTACAATGTTATATGCACATTCAGTCACACAAAAGTTTGTTTGCGATATCTGCTCGAAGCTACGGACCACGTCCTTTTTCCTGAAGCGATCTTCTTACATCGAATCCAAAAAGCACCGAAAATGTTCTGAAATATACTGTAAGTAATGCAACGAGAAGAGAAATGTGAACGATTATGAACACAATCTTTAACCATAACTGACATTGAAGAAGCTCGATGCTTAGAAATTTTAGGTTTCGATTTCCCGGTAAATAATTCTATTAATATTATATATTTGATATTAAAGAAATATATTCAACAAAATGTTCTTACTGCTTGCAGTTCAGACGAAATAAATCTATTGCAACTTTTCGCGTGGTTCTTCCACTCTGATAATAAACGCATGTTTAATTATGGTACTTCATTCGAAGCAATAAATTTTACTACTGCCATTATTGTGTTGTCATATGTTCTTTAAGGTATGTAAGTTTATTCATCTATTTTTCATCACAGAATTATTCCATACTTTGTTATAATACAAATTTTGTCAACGACTTAGCACTGTTAACTGTGCGCATTTAATTAGACATATTTCATAGGTTTCATAATTATACTTTGATAATAGTTTTTATTCGTACATATATTTGTGTGTTATATCCATAAAATACGATGTTATTACACAATTAGTTATAAAATTTAGTAACATTAATCACGATTATTACAACGAATGTTCCTTTATACGAATAGAACCACATTCAGAACACATCCATCCTGGATTAATTGTGTATCATAACGCGCAAAGTAGTGAACATGGAGAAGGCATTGGACAGGTACTGAAATATTGTAAACTTGCCATTTATTCAAGATCTTTGAATAATTTTCTCATCACAATTATGGCACGCGAACTTACCGAACAGTAGTAACGCAAAGAGAGCTCTGGCACTATGCATGCGATTGAAAGCGTTAGCGGTTGTCGATATATTAACACATTCAGTAGACTTTTCTGCATTCTCAATTTCTGTTCATACCATGTTGAGTTATATATACTTTGTGGAGCGTCCATACTCTAGAAATTATGAAAAATTAACTGATTTTAAAAAAGTGAACATTTGTATTTCTCCAGGACATAGAAACCACATTTTTGTTACTACCATATCTTTCAAATAATCAGCTGGCCACGCGTATAAGTAAATTTCCATAAGTACAGTGACACATACGCCTATAAACTGTAGTTTCACAAATAGAGGTACATTCTATTTAAATAAATTATGTCATTAATGTCATAATTAAATAGTAGCATCATTTTACGTTACATTACACTATATGTAAAATGTGATAAATTTATGTAAAATTTGTGTATATAAAATGTGATAAATTTATAAATTTCACTTACTACAAGCACCATAAGAAAACACAGAGTAATACCAAACGTGGCTACTCCAATGGCATACAGTACCAAAAATCGAAAACTATTAAACACTTCTTCCGCGTATCTAGAAAAATATTACTAAAACATAAATGCATCGTTTGATACACGCATTACCTTTCAAATACTATCTTTACCTTTTTAAATGTAATTGTTTCTTTACGCAAACAACCAACGCATCGAAGTCTGTGCTCCTCTCCAATTCCGCGGCTAAACACTCAAATCTCGCTACCGTAAACCAAAGTAAAAGCGCCCCAAATGAGCTTACGCATACGTGTGCAGCGGTTTGAATACAAAGGCAAGCATGGTGCATATATATGATAATATACATTGATGTATAATTGATAGGAAATGGATACTCCGCATCAAATGGGAGAGAAACTGGCAAGATTATAGGTCGTAACGAAAAACAAGTCGCTGTCACATACGTACATGCCATGGAACCACCGCAGAAAACATAGCATTTCTTGATGTACTTGTAGAAAATTTTTTTCTCGTATTGTTGTGCTTCTTTAACATAAGTCATCATTTCCTCGACTGTACGCTGTAACGCGTAATTAAAACACATTGGTTTAATTTTAGGCAAGTGTGTAGAATGGGGCACGTCACACCGATTTAGATAAGTTTGAAATATGTTGTTAAGATTAATCTTATCGCTTCTGATACTGCAGCACATACTCGAAAAGATCCCAAGCTTATCGGAATCGGTGAGATGTCTCGTATTCTAAACAATTACATACCGAGTTTTACGTCAAATGATGATCGAAATTAAAGCTTACCTGTAGAGAATCGTGCTTGATGAAGCATATAAGAGTCTGGAAAATATTTTGAGACACTCCTAATAAAAGGCACATACAGGAAGAAGTAATGACGATATCATTTAAGTGCAAATAAATCGAATATAATATTGGCATAAATAGCAAACAGCCACTAATACCGCTACAGATTTGTAGAATCTTGAAACAAAAGATTTTATTTCTGTTGCTATTGATAGGAAGTGGCCAACAAAGGCTTATCACTACGCTGAGCCAAGTAATATGTATAACTTTCTCTGCTGTTATTTGTTTCAACATAACTATATAAATTGGTTGCCTTATGAATCCAACGAAGTAGATAGAACCGACACGATGGTGTGATATATTACAAACTATCGAGAATATATGTAACCAAAGTGCTTTGAAAGCAACTGAGTATTCACAGATGTTACTTGAATATAATTACTGTAGACGTACGAGAAATTCAATAAATTATTACATCCAAGAATATGTTCCACCGGTTTGCGATTTTCTTTACAGTAACGCGCTGCTAGCTGACTTAACGCTAATCATTATTGGTTGCATTATACATTAAGAGTACGTACCGTGTTAGACAGGTGCAAAGGGTAGTTATCACGCAACAGGGAAAGTAAGAAAACGTTCTTCGAAAAAGAATTGTATACGTGCATAAAGTCGTGTGTATATTCAGTTATACAAATACCTGTTTATATATCTACACGAAGTTGCAGTGCACGTCCCTATTTCTGAAGCGATCTTCTTACGTTGCCACTCGAAAGGACCAAAAGTGCTATTACAAACGTGTATAGAAATGTCGCGAAATATACTGTAAGTGACGCAAACAGAAAAATACATGTGAACGTCGATGGACACAGATCTTACAATTAGCTAAAACTGGTATTAAAGAAGTTCAACGCATCGAAACTTTAAATTAATCGGTAAGACATTCTACTAGCACTAACGTTACCAGGCCCGATGAAATGGTTTCAAAATCTAATTTCAAGTTCTACATTCATTATTATTTCTTTTGTTCGTCTAATTTCGTTACGTAATATTAACAAAACATGTTATATTAACAAAAATTGAGAAATTGATCTATGTTGGCCTGATAATGGCCTGGTAAAGTTAGTGTTAATATATCTAATTCTAAAGAAGCATATTAAGCAAATATTGTACAACTTTCTGTTCGAACGCAATAAATTTATTACATGTTTCAGTAATTTACATATTCAAATAACGTGTATCAGGAAAATTACGATTCAATCATTGATCTCATTGCCATGAAGTAGGACGATACTGTAGTTATAAACTATAAATCATTTTACCAAATAATTATATCTGATTTTTTGAGAATTACTTCTGAAAGTAACATGCTTACGTTTGCGAAATATTCCAAGGTAAGAGGCGGTAGTAAACCACTCATTCTAATGAGTAGCGGTTTTTGACTTCTCTGCATCATAATAAGCATGGAGCTTTTCATGTCTTTTGGCTTTCCTAACCATTGAACGTCGGTGATCGACTTTGCGAACTGCACACTCTGCAAATAGAAGTTTAGCTTCAATTATCAAGCTAAAAATTATGGGCTTTGGAATCGAGGAAAGTAGAATCTCGTTTAATTGCAAAGAAAATGTATGAAGACGATGTCGATGCCAGATGAGATGATGTTCTATCAACGTTACTATTTGGTTGGCTTACACTTTCTTTTAAATCGTCCGCTGGCCAGGAGATGACGTACAGGCGGGTACAACCAGACACCACAAAAGAAAGATACTGACTCATTACGGCCAATGATTGATTCTGAATGTTATTATAAAAATATTCATTTAAAACAGCTCGATTTGTGATACATTAAGATCCCATTCCTTGCTTATTTATTACGCTACGCTACGAATGGTGCAGAAAGGAAAACTGTCGAGCAGGCCAGACTCACGTAAATCAGAGGGAAAGCTCCGCATATCACAGCGCTTCCCATCGTGGCGTTCGTTTTGAATAATAAAGTCTCAACAGTAGCTTTAGTATCCTCCACAAATCTGACCATGACACGGTCTCAATTTACTTAACTCGGTAAAGATTTAACTCTCTGGCATTGTTTATTCTATACCTTTAAATGATAAATGCAGTACGATGCACTGCATCATGCATTGATTCAACGCAGTCAATGAAATATTGATTACATAAAAGAAAAATTCGGCTGTTTTCTTAAACGATTATTTGATAGATATTTAATAACAAAGTGATAACACGAGATAATAGTACAAAAATTGAAATTCATGTTTAGACGAAGCTACTGAATATGTCGATACAATCTATTAGTTCGATAAATTAGCAAAATATCGCGATTGTATCATAGAGCATATGACATTTATACGGAGTGGTTGGTAACTGGTGGTACAAGCGGAAAGGGGGTGATTCTACGAGAAAAAAGAAGTCGAAAATATAAAACAAAAATTTTTTTCTTAATTTTTTTTTTTAATTTTTCCATCGAGATAACGATCTACAGTGAGATCCGTTATAACGAGACGTGATAAAGTGCACGCGTACCGAGCGAAAATTCAAAGTCGATTTTCTCGAAAACAAAATCTCGAACGAAAAATTTTTATTCTATATTTTCGACTTCTTTTTTCGCGTAGAATTACTTCCGCTTGTACCACCAGTTACCAACCACCCTGTATATGTATATTTATTAGAAATCAGTCAAATGGTGTTGTCACCCTGAGGAGAACACTTGGAAGAAACGATGTGCGTGTGAGAGGAGTGCATTTCTTACCCCTATGCTACCTTGGATGTTATCTTCAGAGCGATTGACAGTAAGTATTTTAAAACCTAATTCGCTTCATAGTCAGTAGCCTGTTTTTCAAACCATTATTTCCTTACTATGCTTTTCAATTTTCTTAAATATCTGATTAACTTAATTTTTTCAAATATTTCATTGTGCGCTGTTCTATTGCCCAAAGGTTACATTAAGACTATATTTGTATGTATATCTTAATAGAAAAGAAATTTATCTTACCCTATTATTTCTTGGTGTTCCTTGATACAGCTTACCAGTATGTCAGAACTATTCACGTGCCGTAGTTTCATTCTTAGTATGTCTAGTCTGGCTGCGGAGAAACTGAACAAAACAGCGATCGTGAAATCAACGCCAATGCAGAATGCCGTTTGAAAAATGCAGTAAACTTGGTTAACGTAGACCATGCAATATATTCCGAGTGATTCGGTGGAAAATGGAAGCCATCCATCTGCTGGTAATTCTTGGGCCGAGAAGAAAGGCGCCAAACTAAATGAGATCGCGGTTGTGATATATCCCATTGCAGTTACCGAGAGAAATTGCTTGTAACGATCCATGTATCTTTCTATTGCCTTAGTCTCATGTTCACTGGCCACTTCCAGGAATGCTTTAACTTTTCCTATCAGAACCTGAATTGATTAAAAAAATCGACAAACTTTTTTAACATATCTTTATTGTGAAACATCGTTAAACTCGTGCTTCAAACCCAAATAACCTGTAGTTGAGCGTTATTCCTTCTACAAAGAATCAAATCGAAGAGCACCTCCAGTAGAGCTGTTACTTCGGAGACAGTTTTCATTAAAATAGGTATATCGTGTCGAAAGTGAAAGATAGCGAACACCAAGGATATCGTTAGGAAAATAACATTTAATATCGCAAACGACCATCGGATGTTGCGAAAAAAGATTTGTTTCTTATTATTATTCGGATCAATTGGCCAGGTGCACGTGAACATTCCAGCCAATTCCACTATGTACAGTACTTGACGAATGTTCACGTTAAACATGCTCATTTCACTGAATGTTCTTTAGAAACATGGAACACCGAACGAAATAACTTTTACCCTGATGTAAATGTTCGTAAAACAGCGGCCAACGAAGATCAATAAATTATTCTCATTAATCATTCAGTGTAGGACTATTACATATCACACGCAGAGTATCCGGAAAACCCGAGTTATTATTTCCCAGTAAAGGGTCCGTTTTGTAGTTTCCTCGATGTTCCAAGTAGTGTTTTATAACGTAATTGCTGGATAGTAACGAAGATTATAGGGAACGGGGTTGGTCTATGCACGATACAGATGTTATCATCTATACGTATATCTTTCATATTCGATTATTTCACTCTCTGTTGCATCCATACGCAAGTAGTTGCTTCACACTCAAAGTGCTACAATGTTTGAAGGTGTAAAGACTTTATTACTTTAGAGCTTCGGAGCACCACCGAATTCTTTTGCTTTTGAGATATAAAATACTCTTTAGCACGTAAACCTCCGCGGTTAAGATACATGCGATACCGAATCTGTTATCGAGGTTTAGTTTATCCCAGTATAGTAATCCAATTGAAACCTGCAGTAGTAGAATACGACTTATCTATACCACACATTTATGCTGCTACCCTATGCGGCACGGTAAATCCGAATATTTGCTCACCTTATCGCGTGACTTTTCATTCACCTCCTAAGCTTTACAATTCGAGACGTGTTCCGACTTCTTATCACTGCCAATAGTAAGGTTTACCTCTATGTGATATTGTATTGTCGACGGTAGGTAAAATCGTACTTACCGTACAATGAAAACATATAGACGATCGATATCGCTCTATATTATCATTCGGGTTACATTGAATAAAATAAAACGAAAATTATTAATGAAATTCTACAAGTATTATAAAAATACTAGTAAATAAATATTCTTACGTAACAATAATAAGTGTAATAATAAAACGAGCGATGCTTAAGTAAATTTTACAGATTATAGGTCAGCGAATTGTCGTACGGAAGGTGAAATGATAAGGAGTGTTCGTGGAACAAACATTTCGAATTCATAATTCATCACTTGTCAATTCGGTAATATTATTGGTTAGTAAATTATTGTGCAATACGATTCTGTGGATAAATTTATCAAGCAAATAACTGATTTATTAAGATAAATCAATAAGCGTGGTTAATTGGCAGCAGGTATATCTATTGAATGATTTCAGATATAAAAAGATTCGGGCAAGGTGTTTACTATTTATTCACTGGAGATGAATAAAAGTACGCGTTGTAACTTTACATATATACGACCGACAAGAAAATTTTCACGGTGAGTAGCTTTGAAATTCCTGAGTAAGCTTCTACGTTTCTATAAAAGTTGGCGTTTTCACGCGTTAACGAGACGTTTTGAATTTGCAATGCAATGAAAGAAAACATTGCCGAGTCGGGTAACGACCCGATCATACCTCGCGAAAGTCTCTGGTTATATCAAATTTGATATTATTATTCGCGCCAGCCTTATGTATACGGTTTATTTTACTACATTGTCCTATGCTCTTGGAAATTTTTGCTCTTTAAATTAGTTGTATTCAACTCGATTGAATTGCAAAATGTAATGAATATTCGACGTTATCCTTTGTAAACGAATATAGAAACTCTCTTGTTTCAAGCTTGTTTGGAGTTTGTGTAATTACAAACGCCAATGCAAGTGTAATACATTACGAATTAGATTGCTGAACGCGAATGACATGTATCTGTGACACAAGTTCGAGCGCTTATACGGAATTTACAGTGACGAATTTCTATACTTCGTTGTGTGCAATTACACGTTGGACTAACAGAGTCGTCAAGGAAAGACGTAGCATGGCAGTATAAGTGGCGGCGACAAGAGTCAAACGTTAATCCTTCGATCTAATTTTAAAACAATTTCCCTATTCTCCCGCCATATGATATTCCGTTTACGAAAGTAGCGAACTGGAAAAAAGAAACAACTACCGGACCAAGAAAATATTTGCGATGTACGATAAAAAATGAAAAATGAATATCCATCGAAGTTAAAACATCGTACGTGTTAAACTGACTGAATCGATGAAACATATTATCAGCAATTTCAATTGCTCCCATGATGTCGTAGCCGGCCAAACGAATCGGAAAGCATCGTGTTTCTCAACGTCCCGTAGTAATATGATAAATTCTGCCGATCGATTTGTTCAATCGTGTACTGATATTCCATTAAACGAAATGGTCGCGCGTCCTGCGTAACTAAACGCGAACAGCGTGATCGGTAACGATGGGTCCACGTTTTTATTTCAAACCACTCGACTATTCGATGCCGCGACTGCATGGCCGAAATTATTATTCAATAACCGGCTTTAACAAACACATGCCGATGCATCCTAGTAATTATCCGAACCGACGTTCTCCAAAATTTCATTCCCCAAAATTACAACGCGAACATAGTCCACACACCGTTGTGTTCGTTGCCATACCGTTATCGACAACATATAACGACGTTCAAACACTATTATCGAGTTTAAAAGACTATTCGATCTATACTGGCTGATCCTTTGCTAATCGTAAAACTTTACTCTCGAATCAAAATCGGTGTGCATGTATCATACATGATATTACGTTTAATTCTGCGTTAACGGTACTAACAGCGAGTGGACAGTAGCGTTTCATCGTAATGAGGATAGAAAATTTGTATAACGAGGACACCGGTGGACATCGTATTTCCCATATGAAATTCCCTATGAAATTGATAATTGCGGTTGACTCGGATTCGCTCATTCGTTCAATTCAATTCAACAAGATAGACGAACTGGTTTTATGAAAATTGAGATCTGTATTTTACATAATTTTACATATTTCATAACAATTTACGTATTTACACATTTACACATTTGACAACATTTTATACTACGATGGTCGTGTTGTCCCCGTGCTTTTGGTCAATGCTCAGCACTATACGACTTGATTTAGCAAGTCTCTTTTACAGAATTTGCTAAAAAAGATAGAAGGTATGAATTAGTACTCGAAGTATCGTATCCTTAAACGAATAAAAACATACGAATTATTTTATTTGACACAAGACGCTACCACGTGATACACGACGAAAATTAAACTGATAAAATAGAAGACAGAAACAAAGCGATTTCATTAGCCAGCTCGATTAACCTTATCACCCTCTGAGAATACGTTCTTTCATTAGTGCAAAATACGTTCTATACCGTCTATAGCGTGACGTACCGTCGATATCGAGCAAACGACTAGGACAAAGAACGTACATTTCACAAGATGGCTAAAACGCTCCTTTCTTTTTATAGGATACCTACTAGTAAATGAGCGTGGGAAGAAGAACGACTAATACGAGCGCAGTCGTGCAAGCCGTTACCGTTAGAAGAATCTCCGAGTCTGATAACGTGTCAACAGTGTTCTTCATTGTAATTTCCTGCGACATATGAGAATTCTAATCAACGATGGAGCGCAATTTTTCTTGGTCACGGAGAAGACAAAGACCCTCGATCGAGTTTCAAAGTGTTAACGAGCACGATTAGAATTCCCAAGAGGCTCTGCGCAAGAAAACCTTAATCTCTTAAGTAGTGATAACACAACGAAACTTTATAATCCAGTTTTCGATGCAAATATTCTCCGGGGCGCGGTCTTCGTCCCTTCGTTTCTCTCGTTTCCGAACCAGAAGATAGCCGGGCCTTTGTTTCGTTGAACCGAACGCGGGGGCAACCGAAACAAACAAAATTTCAACGTTTTCCTATTCTTGCCGACGAATCGGTCTATAATTAACTAAACGAGTAAAACTTTGACCATTCTCTTTCGCTACGTCCGCTGAAACACCAAAGATTTGTTTCGCAAATCGTATTGATCCCATGGTAAGTCACGACTTCTTTGAGTTATATCGTAATACGTTTGTCGTATCAAAGCTGGACATCGATTCATTAGAATATAAACACGAAGCTTAACAGCGCGACAGAGAGACAATGCTCAAGGAAATAGGAAAGGCTACAGGGATTGTGATTGTTAGGAAAAAAAGATGTTCTATGAGAATCATAAAAGTCCGGTATTCGTACGAATTTTTCTTACAGGCAAACAACTGAAATAACTTTCTCCAACGAAATATTTGCTCTTTTGTCAATAGCAAGAAAAGCTGAATGTACGAATATCGAAATTGGAATCTCCTAGCGTAGTCCATGACGCCACATTTCCATAAAGTAAACATCTATATAGATACCGATCAACATTTTTTCTGTGACACGCTCGCAAAAGGCCCAATAATAATTTTACCGACATTTTCGGCGGCTCATTTCCAACGCGACCATATTATAACTAAAATTGAAACTCTGTCCCGATTCGAAAATCGAATCGAGGGAATATTTTTCGATTTTACGATCCCTACAAAGGGAAAATTGTAAGAATTCCATTGCTATCGCGAGAAAATAAGGCACAATCTCACGATCTCGAGATCTCTCACGAAATTATGTTAAAATATTTGTTGGCCAGCCGCTTGTCTCGTTGTTCTCGTTAAAAGTTTGTCAGATAGGACGGTTCTTTCGTTTATTATTTAACTTGCCTTGTTAAAATCATGTGACCCGGAAACGTAATATCAGCCGCATAAACAGCTTAATCACGCGATAACCGGGAGCGGACTTTCGACGCGCAGAACTTTACGAGGTCGTGTGCGCGCACCAACCAACAGTTATGCAGACGACGAAAACCAGAGAAGTTTCGGCTTTAAAGCTCCCCGAGGAGAGCGTTCAACGCCTACTGGAACCTAAGGTTTCCTTCCTTTCCAATTTTACGCCAATTGCAAGAAGACGGCTGCCGACGACATTTAACTCTCGGAACGTCTCTGCTTTCCTCGCTAACTCGCCTGTATTTACGTGCCGACGAATATTTCGCAACACTCGCTGTCATGAATTACCTCGTGCGTTGTAAGTATTCACTATACTCTCTGGAAATCTAACGAAAATTTGTTTGAAATTAGGCAACAGAGTTTGCATGACTATTAATGAATTCCTATAACCATGCTATGGTGGATGGAACAGAAAATAGAGTACAAGCGTGCCGAAAGTGCGTAATTAATGTTCGTACAATTAAACGTGTTAAAAACGTGTAAATACGTACCGTGGATTTTGCTGTGAGACAAAGAACAACAGATGAGAGGAAAAACAAGAGCGTAGCTGGCGAAAACATTTCGCTCGATAACCGACGACCAAATGCGGAAGTTTCTACCTGTTCTATGGTATTATCTACGTGGGAAAGTTCACGACGGCGATAAAATGATCGATTGACGGATCGACGCTTACTACGTTTGATTTTATTGCTATACTCGCCGACGTGGAAAGAGTATCTTATCTGGCGTAGATAACATATTTTATCTGAATGCTGAACACGCATATATATAGATAGATATATGTAGCACACAGGTGTAGTTTTGTACGAATCAATGGCGAATATTCGGATATATTTGTGATCATGAATGGGAACGAACGTTCCGATTCCCCTTTTGTTTTATATAGCAAAAAGCTAGTTTTGCGTGGACGTGTTATTTATTTCCCTTATTTTGTTCGCCTTGAAGAACGGATATCAGTAGCTCGTTCTTCGTATCATGCAATTACGTTATTAGATTTGTGGATACGCTTACCCTGTGGATTACCGGGCAAATATCTTCTCAGTTCTACTTCTTCAGAGATTGAAATCAAACAGAGAGTTCGTTCGCAACTGGTTCCTACTGGGAACGATGGATCGCCTAATGCATCATCGTTGATTATGTTGTATAATTGGAAAGGCAATCGTTTTTCGTGGCCTGGGATTTCACCGAAGCTTTACGACTCTACGAAACAATTTCGTTGTTATAGATCGTACATATCTTTTGAAGAGATATTTATCAGAAACACGGTGATGATAATTCACGAGTCAATAATTAGTAATAGTCAATAATTTTTCTATGAAAAAACAGTAGAAATAAGATATATCGTATTACTTTAACATAAATTTTTCAAATTCGGCTTTTATCACTCTGCATGTATATCTATAGGTGAATGTTTGAAGATGAGTGCACCATAAAAGAAAAAGCGAGTTATTCCCCTTTTGTTTTATATAGCAAAAAGCTAGTTTTGCGTGGACGTGTTATTTATTTCCCTTATTTTGTTCGCCTTGAAGAACGGATATCAGTAGCTCGTTCTTCGTATCATGCAATTACGTTATTAGATTTGTGGATACGCTTACCCTGTGGATTACCGGGCAAATATCTTCTCAGTTCTACTTCTTCAGAGATTGAAATCAAACAGAGAGTTCGTTCGCAACTGGTTCCTACTGGGAACGATGGATCGCCTAATGCATCATCGTTGATTATGTTGTATAATTGGAAAGGCAATCGTTTTTCGTGGCCTGGGATTTCACCGAAGCTTTACGACTCTACGAAACAATTTCGTTGTTATAGATCGTACATATCTTTTGAAGAGATATTTATCAGAAACACGGTGATGATAATTCACGAGTCAATAATTAGTAATAGTCAATAATTTTTCTATGAAAAAACAGTAGAAATAAGATATATCGTATTACTTTAACATAAATTTTTCAAATTCGGCTTTTATCACTCTGCATGTATATCTATAGGTGAATGTTTGAAGATGAGTGCACCATAAAAGAAAAAGCGAGATATCGCATCTATATGCAAAGAATGTTACGCGTTTTAGCGATCAAGTGCATCCCCTCGATATCACCATAGGAAGCCACCGTGTTTCGAAACGAAAAAAGGAAAAAGAAAAAATAGAAAAATGGTGAATCGATCGAGAGAAAGAGAGGCAGAGGAAGAGAGAGAGAGAGAGATAGAGATAGGGAGGGAGGCGAGGAAAAAGCAAAAACTGCACGGATACATCTGTTTCCGGCACTTTTTGCTTCTCATTCCGCCACTGAAGGCTCAAAGGACACCACCGGAAATTCCATACGCGCGCTGCCTATCGCCACCACCCCCTGGTCAATTTCCTCTCTTTTTATTTTACCGCCAATTTACATTGCACTCCCTGCCGAGCCCCGCTTCGTTACTGCTCACTGACCAAAGTTAATGGAATAACCGACGAATCGGTCAACTCGATTTTTTTTTTTTTTCTTACCTATCCTCGTTCAAGCGTGCATAACCGTGTGCACGGTTTCGGTTGAACGCGGTATGCAGTAACTTTACATTTGATACAAGAAATTTGATCAGACCTTGCCACGTTATACGCTCAAATTATAAATAAAATTAAAGCTCTAAGTATAGATTAGGTGGGAGAACTTGGAAACGGAAAAAAAACAAAATTAAGAAATTGGATAAAAGAAAACGTTGAACTCTTTCATTTAGCGCGACAAAGTTACAGAGCTTCCTAGCGAAAGGATACAGGAGGAGAACAACGTGTAAAGTTAAGCAAAATGTACGCGTCTAGTGCTCATATTCCGGCTGCAGCGGCGCGAGCGCGCCAATTTGAAGACAAAAGGTGGGAGAGACTGAAAAAGCTTGTGCGTTCTAATACAGACGCTAGGAACACAATATTTCCACACTTCTGGTTTTAAAAACTCTGATTGTATTTACGCTGGTACGTGACTGTTTGTATATACGTGTAATGAAACTAGAAGAATACCGATAAAACGAACACGCCATACACAGGGTAAAACGAACACGATAAGGAAAACGTTTGCTAGTATTCCCTTGCGGATTCTACAGACGCACGAGTAAAAATTAAATTAAAACAATGGTGGATCGTGCGTAAAACGCGTTAATCTCTTCTTTCTCTTCCATTATTCTTGGTTTCTCTCTTTTCTAACTTGGTCGTTCAGTAAAATATTATCGTACCTTTGATCGAAACCAGTTCCACCTCCTCGAAATATAATTGCTCATTCAATGATCATTCAGGGGTTCGCACGCCGATGATATACAATCGACTGTTCGTTTCATTTGGTTCGCTGGTATATAACGTTAAAACCTTCCCCTTGCCATATTGTAAATTACCTTTCTTTGCCGTGGGATGTTTCCGTTGTATTTAGCCGAATAAAAATAGCGTTTCCCATTTCAAAAGACAAAGGATAACGCGGTTCTTCCTTTCGTTTCTTTCCTTTTTCTCCTCTGCTTCTTACCTTGGTGAACGTATCTTCGCGCGTCGCATTAAGAACGATATCTATATTTTCTCCCTTTCCTATTCCATGCATATTCACTCAGGGACAAACTAGATTTTCTTGGCGCCGCGGAAGTTCCCGCGGCAAAACGGGACAAAACTTTTTTCCCTGATGAAAGAACGCTCATCGCCTTTATTACGCTCTGATGCAAGACCCGTGTACGCAGTCTCTCTCCCGTTGGATTCGAAACTTCCACACCTGCCCCGATCTGCCCCGTCGTCCGACTATTTCATCGGATTTTCTCCTCTTCCTATCTATACCGGTAATGAAGATTTCCTGCGATGTCTCTGGAGATGCAGTGGTTTCCTGAAGGATTCTACGATCACAAGCAAATACGTTGTTTCTCTGACAAGAGAGAAAAAAGAAATATCAGCTACGAAGAAAAAGGAGAGAGAGAGAGAGAGAGAGAGAGAAAGACAGCGATCGTTTCGCTTATCAATTTCATTTAATCCAACGTTTCCTTGCCGTTTGTTGCTTTCGATATATTACAAATTGTTTCACTGATCCCCACGAGAAGCCGCTTGTCCAGCGAACAGAGAAAATACTCGGGTTTTCCATTCCATAAAATTTGATAAAGTAAGACGTCGGTACCGAGACTCGAGGGAATTCGCCGTTACCGTGAATCGAAGGTGATACAAGTTAGTCGATAGCAGACTCGATCATATCGATGATATACCCGCTAGACAACCGAGAGACAGCTTCTAAAAGTCATAGTCACGCGACGAGTTCTACTCGTTTGTCTCGTTAATTTAATCGATGCGTTACAGCGATTATATTCACTGTGTTGTGTTCTGAAAGTTTAACAAAGTATGTGTTTACCTATCACATAGTCGGTGTTTCATGACGGATTGCAAACCTCGCTTTCAGCTTTTACCTTCCCACGTCAAACTTTGATTTTTACCAGACGATTCGGTTTCATACCAGACGATACGTAAAGAGAGCAAGAAGGCGTGTATTGAAAAAAGAAGATCGTTTGAATTGACGAAAGTCAGTTTTCGCTTGCAATTCCATTACGAACGGAGCCCAAGTAAACTTGCAACTGGAGATCGTTGTGCATATTGCGAGTCAAACGCCCCTAGAATTCAACTGATGAAGGATCTCTGGTAAGCAGATATACATTAGGTAGTAAGCAGACAAGGTATGTATTCCGTTACCCTCGAATGTAATCGAAACACAGAGTAGTCTGTCGAAATTCAATATTGTGTGTGCTGTTAAACAATTTGTAACACGATTCCAAGAGTAATTGATCTCGCAGTCTCGCACATATTATACGCCGTTTGAAAATTAATATTATCGTCTTGATAATACTTTTTTCAGATCTCGAGTAGAATTCAATCGACGCTATTCCACACCGGCATGACTGTAAGTTGAATCCATTCGAACTTGCCATTTCACAATTTTTGTCATACACGTCTGAGAAGCGTGAAATATCTTAGAGGTAGATGGAGGTCGGTTTCGTTCAAGAAACGATCGTCCGCAGTTTCATAAATTAACGAGTGCATGCGGATGACACGCTGTATCAAGTATATCAAAACTTTTCTACACTATCCTACTCTATATCTCTTACCAGCACAGGATCTGACTTAACGAAAATTATTACAGCGGTCAACCAAATTTCAAACGAACAAAAAAATCTATGCAGAAGGAAAGATTAAAAATGTAGAGAGAAAATGCTGGGAAAATGTTGAAGCGTTGTTGCAACCACGCGCAAGAGCGCGTAAGTAGCACTCTGAAGGGAAAGTAATTAGAACGAAGATGTATTAAATTTTCTACGTGGCGGAAAAACATTTAATTGCTATTTAAAATGCACGCGGTTTAGACATAATCTTTGATTTATGATTTGCAGTTGGCCGCGATGTACTTTAATATGCACCAAGCTTTTTTAGCCCGGCGAAAGAGAAATAGCGTTCATTCGACCCACATACACGCACGAATGACGGACCAAGTAACAAAAATGTATCGTAAGCGCGAGCGAAACGACGACAGAGTTAATGAAAGTAATGAATTTTTATTCTGAAACAGGTGTTTGCTTCTTGGTTGAAGAAGATATATATATTTAATCTCGGAGTTCTGAATTTATCGTTCGACTGCAAGCATCGGTACGACTATTTCCGTATATTGTGGCCATAGATCAAACTTTTGGCTATGTTATCGTATTTATTTGCGTGAAATTCATTAGCCAGGATAATTAATGATTAATCGTAGGGTCGGAGCGATACGCGTGTAATTAGTTGAAGCTACTTCTAATCATTGAATCATCGATAGCTCGGTCTGTGCCGGGTATTAATTGCGTATTAGTTACGCTCGACATTTTATTAACGATGGAGAAATGATCCGGCCGATATCGCGAGAACGATCAAGTTGGAAGACAAATAATCGTTTAATAAGATTCGTGGAAGATCGATCGGAACGCAATTGAATAGAACTTTATTCGTTAGAAAGTAGAACGTGTCAGACGTGACGAGAGATACATACGTTTGCAGATTAAGCCGCGACAAGGATTGTCCGTACAAAGATTGATGAATTTCCCTGATCTTGACAGAGTTGAAAACGGAATGGTACGATGTCTGAAGTTTCGACAAGATTCACCTCCGTGACATTTCTCTTTGACCCTATAGATGGCCAGGATCTCGGGGTAGTTAGCTTCGGTTTCCATCGATGGGTATTCTTTTCTTTTCCATTGCAATCTCCGTGAGAAAATGAACGACCGGTATCTCTCGGTTCACCAGTCGAACGAGCAAACTTTTCCATTCCTTGGCGTTGATCCGCGATCATTGAGCTACGGGAGACCTCTCAGACGCAGGATATTAAAAGTAGATTAAGATCTCAAACTTCCGATTCTAGATTCGATTCTCTGCCACGGATGGTGCATTATCCGATCGTTATCGGGGTTGGACACCGTGCAAAAAGTCTTGCTGCAAATAAGTTCGGCACGATTGCCAAACGACCTATCAATATTGTAGGAACGAACTCGTCGATAGTTTCATCGTTTCATCGAATAGAAACGAACACGCGAAGAAGCAATTAAACGTTGTGACTCTATAATAACACGAAGTAACTAAAGGAAGAGACTTGATAACGATGTTTAAAATTCGATGTCCGTGAACGTAAATGACGGTCTGGCATCCGGCGATAAGAGAAAACTAAGGAAATACTTTTAAAGCGTTATAACGCGGAATCTGTTCACCGTGTTCGACTATATCTCTCTGTTTTTGGAACCCGATCGATGTCGTGCATAAAGCTTCTCATTTATACACAGCGACGCGCCGCCGCCAGCGCCGTTATTCCCGCGATAATTATACGCGTGAAATCAAATTAATAAGAGTAAAGATCCAAGTGGCACCATTAAAATTTTACGATTGGTCGGTGGAGTTTATAACGAAGGTTTTCATAATTACGGGATTTTTAAAAAGACGCATTTCGTGAGTCCTCGTTAAGTACTAGCCGGCGAACCCGTTTCGTTTCGGAAACTTTAATTCTCTGTTTACCTGTTCACGGCTTTTGCTCGCCCGCCGGTAAACAGCTTGGAACTTTTAATTGCCTTTCCGGAGGTTTTTGCTGGAAACGCAGCGAAAAAGTGAGAATTAAGCTGTTCTCGCGATCAAGATTTTTGATACTGGCCGTTATTGCGGGACGTGACCGTTTTAGCGTTTAGCGTTTAAATCATACCCTTCGACCATTTCTACGGTAAAGCATATCGAGTAGAAAATTGCGGTTCTCAAAGACGAAATTTGACAATTCACGGATACTCGAAAGAACGCAAGAAGATTATCCGAAAGTTGAAGGAGAATCGAAGATCGACTTTAAAATCTTGCCGGATTTTCTATGACGGAATTAGGGGAAGGATCAACGACTGTGTCGACGAATCGGGGCTCGTTCGCGGCAATTTGTTTCACTTTGCGGGCAGACTTGCACCCTTGGCTTGCTTCCGGCTTCCTTTCGATTCTCGTTTAATCTTCGCGATCGAACTTCGATCCTATCATTCGTTCCGCGTAGTCCCTTCGTACACCCGTTCCTTCGTTTTGCGTTTCTTTTATATCGCTACAGACTTTAGGTGCAACTTTGTCGGTTATCCGTCGGAAGGCGATGAAATTTCTTACATCGGGCTTCTTTCTCAGTACCATCAAGAGCAGAGATCAACTCCATTTCCGACTACGGAGCCGAAATAACGTTTCAAAAATTCTGAAGATTACTTTTCCAGTAGATTTTACGCGTTATTTTCGATTATCGGAAGAATAACTGGTGCTTAAAGACGAGAGCATAGAATATCGGATCCATTCTTTAATCATAAAGAGGTGCCAAAAGTTCTGTCACAGCTTTCGATATATCTGAGAGATACAGCGACTTCGATCTATGCTGCAATGCCAATTTCGGGTAAAAACTATACAAACAGATGGAACATTTCTTATTTTATTCGGCCCTATGACGTGACCGTATAGAGGTGGTTTATGGTCGAACAATTCTTATGATCTACGAGTAATTTTCCAAAGTGGACTCCGTTCTTGGTTCCTTGGCGGTCGGCTCGTGCAAACGTTACCAGAAATATTGCAACGCGGGCAAACTTTCTGGCGAACCGACCGGCCCGAAAATCTTGAGTAAACAGCCACGCACGAACCTCTGCATGTGAACCGTATACCCCGTTCCAACTTGACCCGGTTTAAAATTATGTGAAAGCGTAATTTCGAAAGTAACACATGTATTTCTGTCGACCTGGTTCCCCGATTTAACCAAGAGTATCGAGTTATTCTTTCGGTAAGTGTGTTCCTTGGTTATTCTTGGCGCGCTATCGTCGAAACAAACTGCGACTAGATAACAATCAAGCGTAATTAATCAACTCCGTCTTTTTGGTTTATTCTTCTTGCCTTTTCTTAGTCCCGGGGCACCCCTGTTGAGCGTCAGGCAGACCACCGTGAGGTCTTAGTCGGTGAAGTCCGACACTACCCCGTTGCTTCTCAGAAGAGCGGCGGGATGTCCATGAGGATTTCCCCACGTATAAAAAAGAAAGAAAAAGAAGATAATAATTAAGCAATCCTAATCGAGTGTAATAACATGAAACGTATGCTGTGAAATTCTTTCTCGTTCTATTTGTGGAAACACAGTTGCACGAAGATTATCGCGAGCGGTGAACGTACTCGTGGAGACTAGACTTTCTCGCCGAAATATCAATGGACTGCTGTCAGCAGGGAAAAAACGTGTTTGACCGTGTAGCTGTAACATATTTATGGGGTACTTGGACAGCGGTGCACGCCAAGGCGACGGAAGAAGCATGACGCTGGAAGAAAATTAAACCCGCCAGCGAATCGGATCGATAAGTTG